CTTAAAATACAATACAAATATAACAATTACGTTAATACACTTATCAAGCATTAAACTATAATCGTAAAACAACTTTAAATACCAGCACTCAGCCTACCTGTACATGGGAGGACAGCAAGACTCATGTAATAAGAAATTGTTAAAATGACGAACTTCTTGCTTCCCCCAAATGAACTGTTAACATTTAAACAAGTAAACCATTTATAAATTATTATTATAATTTACTATAAAACACTAAATTTTGCTATAATTATATACTTTTAGAAATCTAAAAAAAATATGTAAGCAAATGTTTCAGTGACATATATGCAGCTTTGAAATTAGAATCAATGCATCTTTTTAAATATCAAATAAATAATGATGACATATATAATATATATATATATATATATATATATATATATATATATATATATATATATATATGTCATGTATATATATATATATAATATACATATATATGAAATATACATAAATACATAAGTAAATATACATATATATATATATATAATAATATATATATATATATAATATATATATATACATATATATGTAAATAACATAAATATACATATATATGTAAAGATACATATATATGTAAATATATATATATATATTATATATATATATATATTATACATATATATGTAAAATACATAAATACATAAGTAAATATATATATATATATAATATATATATATATGTAAAGATACATAAATAGTAAATATACATACATACATATATATATATATATATATATATATATATATATATATACATATATATATACATATCAGCGACCTAATTATCATTTGGTATATTCAATTCCTTTTGCTTTACTATGCCTTTCCAAAGGAAATTTAAATGCAATGTAATTCTGTGCGAAACTACTTTCAATAAAGATGTTCGATTTAATCGTGAATATTGCTTCTGAATAACCACGATGAGTATCTATAATCGCTATTTTTACAATTAACAAAGAAAGTTTAGTGCATTCTCAGTGGTCGTGACTAAATCTGAGTAGTTTGTTAGATGTCATCTTACTTTTGGGACTCATCTTGACATGCGTCGAGTGCATTATTACATTCCAGGAAGTTGTGTTCCTCTCTTGACTCATTCCCATTGCTTATTCATTAATACTTGGAAGCTCACAAACACAAGCACAAGCACAGCATTATGTACATGCAAAACAGATTCGAAATAAAACCGTAACGTTTCTAACTCGCCTACAGTTCCTCGTCAGACGCAGTGGAACCCCGATATGGCTCTTTGAATATACATTTCGGTATTACTGCGTCTTGACGGGTTGTTCGACACGTCTGGCAAGGACCGCCACGCTTTTACTGCGTCTCTAATATAGCAGTTTCATTTTATTTGAACTTCGTCGCAGGAAATCGCCATGTGAAGTTGTCAAGTTTTTGTTCATCTGCTCGAGATTTCCATTTTCTTTTCATCCCAACGCACTAGCACCTCGTCCAGTCCTGGTGGTCCTTCGGCCGGCACTCCTCGGGACACACCGCCTTGGCCACCTTCCTGGCGGGTCCGACCTTGTACGTGCCCCACCCGCAGTACCTGTCCCCCTCACGCTGCGTCGGGAAGGGCACGGCCGGCCCATGCTCTCGAAGCCTACTTTTGCACGTGAAACTGGCATGGTTTAACACGTTGGTCTGAAATGCAAAGGCAATAATGTTTATCCTGATCGTTGTAGTTTTGTATGCTGCTTTGTCAATTTATGTGCGTGCACATATTATTTACTTGTACTGTACTATTTATACACATGCTTATACTGCATAACACCAGCAAGCATATAAACATTTAAAGTTAATCCCACTCTCACACAGACGTATTCACATATCTGTCAGTGATTTGTGTAAAACAGAAGTAGCATACTACTATCCCCTTCCTCCTATCATGAAAAAAAATTATCATAAAAAAATAATGGATATGTGTCCTTCTTCAAATCAGTTAGTGACAACAAGCCTCCGGTATCCATGCAACAAATACAAAACACAAAGACTATTGAAAGCAAGGCTAACAGCAGCTTCTCACGTCCATCCAACCAGAAGACAATCGTCCACGTCCACGAGTCCATTCATCCGGGAACGACCAAGACGAACACAAAACAATCCCGAGAAGACTTTTCCTTGCTGGAACAGGAGGAAACCCCAAGACGTACCCTCGCATATGGCCAGACGACTTCCTTGAGTAACAGCTGATCTTGGCTACGCATCTCGCTCTTTGGTCTGCTGTACATCTGGTCACGCAACGACTGCATGGCACCCAGGTCCCTGTTGTGAGCTCCCCATAAACCTGTAATATAAAGAATGCATAGTTATATATGGAGTAAAGAACACATTATCGTTTTAAGTCTATCTGTATTCCTCTATTAGATATTTCTAGGTAAATATTCATACATGTCTATCTGCATATGTATTTGTCTGTGTTAAGTAGACACACACACACACACACACCTATATACAGTGATGGCTATCGATACACAGATTTGTGTAAGGCGATACCTATGAATCGATACTTGAAATTTGGCTAATGAGATTCTATTACATTGATTTTTCAAAGACCAATACATGTATCGCTGGTACTTTATTGTAAGAAAATATCCAAATTTATATGTGTGTGAGTGCGTGTGTATAAAAAAAAAAAAAAAAAAAAAAAAAAAAAAAAAAAATATATATATATATATATATATATATATATATTATATATATATATATATATATATGTCGAGATCATTATTTATTTGATATTTAAAATGATGCGTTGGTTCTAATTTCAAAGATGCATATGCATCACTGAAACATTTGTTTACATATTTTTATATTTCTAAAGGCATATAGATATAGCAAAATTCAATGCTATAACAAATAGAGTAAATTATAATAGTCATTTATAAATGATTTGTTTGTTTACATATTAACAATTCATTTGGGGGAAGCAAGAAGTTCGTTATTTTAAAGATTATTTGTTAGACGAGTCGTTGCTGTCCTCCCGTGGACAGGTAAGGCTCAGTGCCATTATTCAAAGTCGTACTTTACCCTAATATTATAGATTGTAATGCTTGAAAAGTGTATGAACGTACTTGTTAAATCCCCATGTATTGATTTATGATAATTGAGACGAGTCCTTGCTGTCCTCCCATGGACAGAGACAGAAATGATTGAGAAATTGCAGCCAGAATAATACGCTTTACCACTTTATTGCTTGGGATCAGCCTATTTCTTATTCCTTCGGCTATTTTAATGGTCGGTGGATAAAGCAACCGAGTTGGTCGTGGGTGAAAGTTCCGGTGGTATCAATGAATAGACTGAGAAGGGAAATATTTATTAGAGGGAAGTGTAAAAGAGGAAAATCGTAGAGATTAAAGGAAGGGGAGCGATGGGCTTATGTCCTGGTATAATCACGAAAATAATACTGATAGACTGGATGTGTGGGTCTTGATTCCACCTCATGTATATATTTATTTTTATTTATTAACATTTCTTTTATTCTTAATTAGTAGGAAAGGGAGGGTATAGTTAATCTTAGATATAAATTAGATTATTTGAGACAATTGTTTATTTAAGTTATTAAGTTTATTGCTATTTACAAAATGATATGTCACCTGTTTATTATTATTTATTGAATATAATGTTAATGGATAAAAATGTTTTATAGCCTTTAAAATATTTGAATATTTGGTACACACTAAACAAAGGAATAAAGGTTACATTCCCCAAAAATTTAACGATACAGTAAACAGTTAAAATAGGCCTATATTTAAATAAATTGGGATATGAAAAATTCACTAATAAGACATCTTTACGAAAATGGAGTAGAATGAATATAACAAACACGCACGCACACACACACACACACACACCACACACACACACACACACACACACACACACACACACACACACACACACACACACACACACACACACACACACACACACACACACACACACACATATGTATAGATAGATAGACGACAGAGAGAGAGAGAGAGAGTGAAGGAGGGAGAGGGTGATAAGGGAGGGAGGTAAAACGGGAGAGTGGGAAGGAGATAGATAAAGTTAGATGGATAGAGAGAATAAAAAATAAGATATATAGATATATGCGACTGTGTTCATGTATACAATATAAAACAGAAATCAAAATCTCAAAATCGATCCGCTGGAGAGAAAAAAAAAATAACCATGACTCATCTTTTCTGTGACCTCATGACGTCATCATCCGCTTTCGTATGACCTCACATGCCAACATCACCTGACCTTTTTGACTTTATGCCAACATCACCCGACTTCGTTTCACCTCACATACCAACATCACCTGACCTTGTTTGACCTCACCTTGCCAACATCACCTGACCGTTTGACCTCACCTGCCAACATCACCCGACTCGTTTCACCTCACATGCCAACATCACCTGACCTTGTTTGACCTCACCTGCCAACATCACCGCATTGTGGTTCGGGTGGTCATGCACGACGTGGAAGGTTCGGTTCGACGCCAGCCACTCCCGCACCGCCGCGACCTCTCGATCCAGGACCCAGCTGCGAGGTCGAGAGTGAGGTCAAAGGGAAGGGTATCAAATGGATGGGTATCAAGGTCGAATGGATGAGTATCAAGGTCAAAGGGAAGGGCATCAAGGTCAAAGGGAAGGGCATCCGAGGTCAAAAGGAAGGGCATCAAGGTCGAATGGATGGGTATCAAGGTCAAAGGGAAGGCATCAAGGTCGAATGAGGTATCAAGGTCGAATGGATGTAAGGTCAAAGGGAAGGCATCAAGGTTGTCAAGTGAATGATGGATGGGTATCAAGGTCGAATGGATGAGTATCAAGGTCAAAGGGAAGGGCATCAAGGTCGAATGGATGGGTATCGAGGTCAAAGGGAAGGGCATCAAGGTCAAAGGGAAGGGTATCAAGGTCAAAAGTTTGGGTATCAAGGTCGAATGGATGGGTATCAGGGTCGAATGGATGGGTATTTAGATAAGGATGGGTATTATGCTCAAAATAATGGGTATTAAGGTCGAAAGAATGGGTATTTAGATGATAAGGATGGGTATCAAGCTTTAGATATTGGGTACTAAGGTTGTAAGAATGGGTATCAAGCTCGAAAAGATGGGTATTAAGATTCAAAACGGGTATCAAGGTCGAGAGGGTGCGTATTGGGGTCAATAGGTTGGGTATTAAGGTCAAAAGGTTAGGTATTAGGGTCAAAAAGATTAATATTTAAGTAAAAACTCTTGGGCATTAAAATCGAAAGGATTGATATCAAAGTCGTGAGGATGGGTATGATGGGTATTAAGGTCAAAAGGATATATATGAATGGACATAAAGGTCAGAAGCTTGGGTCTTAAGGTCAAGGAATGAAGGGATAAAGGATGGGTATTAAGGCGAAAATATGGGTATTAAGGTCAAATAATGAAACGACTGTAAGCCTGCATTTGGTCCACTATGTATTTAAGTATATACATGCGATTAGATATACAAACTTATATGTCTATCTTTGTGTTGTGTTGTGTGTGTGTGTGTGTGTGTGTGTGTGGTGTGTGGTGTGTGTGTGTGTGTGTGTGTGTGTGTGTGTGTGTGTGTGTGTGTGTGTGTGCGTGCGCAGGATGAAACTTGGGACCATCACATGATCCAGGAACTAAGGCCCAGTACAAGAAAAGGCACGTGTCACACCTCGGCAGGCAAAGTCATGCACACAGTCTTTTGGAACAAGCATAGAGTAGGGATGGATATTTTGGCAAAAGGTACTACTAAAATACAATGCCGCTGTTCACAACTCTCTCACTGTCCAGGCGGAAGTGCAGTCCTGTGGCTACAACATCCCCCCTCATCCTCATTCTCCTGACCTTCCACTATTTGACCTTTTTACCTCTTTTTGTCCATGAACTAATAAAAAAATTAAGGTCAAATGTTCCCAAGATGATGAGGCACTTATTTCTGGTCACCATGGCTTCAACCACAATCTGTGGGCTAACGACTTCACTGTATCTAATAATATGTTAAGGACGATATCGACACATGACCTATAGCGAGCGATGTGCAACTTTATGAATGAGAAATTTCAGCCTCTTAGGATAAGCGAAAGTGGGTCAGGGGAAATCTTAAATGAGCGCCACTCATATATATATATATATATATATATATATATATATATATATATATATATATATATATATATATATATATATATATATATGAAAATGAAAACAGCCATAAGATATGAAACTAAACGTTTATGCGCATACATATAAATATCTATGTATATATGTATATATGTGTGTGTGTGTTTCATATATGTATATATATACATATATGTGTGTGTAAATATACATATATATAAGGTCTGCATCTTTTACTGTGATTTACACTACTTATCTTGGTAACCATAAAGTTAATAAGACCCATAACCATAACATCATCAAAACAATGCTTAAATGAAAAATAATAACTCTGATTTTTTTTTCAAATATATAAACAGAGGCAAACACAATCACCAAACCCAACAAACAAAAGTAAACACAATCACCCCAAAGCAACAACAAGACTCACCTGTCCGTGTCCCTGCTCAGGAAAGTCCGCACCGTCGGGTCTCCCATCACGGCGAACCTCCATATCCTTCCGGTGAGTCCCTGTTCATTCATGTTACCTGGTTGGGTGGGGGGGAGGGGTGATGTAGTTCAGGGGGGGAGGGTGATGTAGTTCAGGGGGGGGGGATGTAGTTCAGGGGGGGGGGAGGGTGATGTAGTTCAGGGGGGAGGGTGATGTAGTTCAGGGGAGGGGTGATGTAGTTCAGGGGGGGGAGGGGTGATGTAGTTCAGGGGGGGAGGGTGATGTAGTTCAGGGTGATGTAGTTCAGGGGGGGGAGGGGTGATGTAGTTCAGGGGGGGAGGTGATGTAGTTCCCAGGTGTGTAGAAGTTTCGTGATCCCTGGATGTAATGTAGTTCAGGGGGGGGATGGGGGATGTAGTTCCGGTGTGTTCGAGCGTTTGTCTGTCTGTCTGTCGTGGGAGGGATGGTATTTCCAGTCTTTCTAGTCTGTTTGTTTGTCTGTCTGTCTATTTGTCGAGGAAGGAATAACGTTCCAGTCTTTTCAGTCTGTTGGTATGTTTGGTTATCTGTCTGTCGAGGGAGGGATAATATTATTTTCAATCTTTGGAATCTGTCTGTCTATCTGTCGAGGGAGGGATAATATTATTTTCAATCTTTGGGATCTGTGTCTATCTGTCGAGGGAGGGCTATTGTGTCCAATCTTTCCTGTCTGATTGTCTGTCTATCGAGGGAGGAATGGTATCATATCCAATCTTTTCAGTCTGTCTGTTTGTCTATCAGTCGAGGGACCAATATTCTTTCCCATTTCTCCAATCTATCTCTCTGTCTCATCTGTCTATCCAATTTGCGTTTGAAAAAAAAAGATCCGTAATATTTCTGCAAAGTGGTTCATCATATATGCATTCTGTCAGATAACACAGCCCTTTCCCTTATAAAGAGCCAAGTATTTTCGTAATTATAATTTCGTAATTCCACCACAGAATCCTCATCGTCAGCATTATAGTAAACGAGACAGAATTAGGATTCGCATTTCCCCCGTCGACCCAGACCTCGCATGACCCCTTACCGAGCCCGGGGAGGTCATGCGCGTGGCAGAGGTCGACGTGGTCGTGGTCGCAGTAGATCCGGCAAAGCTCCGCCGTGCCGACCTCATCATCGGCGGTGACGTTGTGATGGATCCGGACGAGCCATCCGGGATACACGCGGCCGATGACGTGGACCGTGTCGTAGAGCTGGCTGAGGTACTTCTTGTAGTCGTGGCTCTCTGAGGACACGCGAGAGAAGGGGAAATTAAGAAGTCTTTGAGACAGCATTGAAGAAGGTGCGAGTGGCCTTTACATCGCTTGAGATTGTTTGTTTGTTTGTATTCTACAATTTAATGGGAAGTTATTTTTTTATTCCTGTTGTTGTTATTATTATTATTGTTACTATTACCATTATTATCATTATTACTATTATTATTACTATTATAATTATCATTGTTATTATTATTATTATTATTATTATTATTATTATTATCATCATCATTATTAGTATTAGTGTGTGTGTATACGTACATATACACGAATACGTACATACAAGAAACCACACGCACACCATACCCAAAAGGAGCCACCGAACGCCCCCCCCCCCCCCCCCAGCGACCTACCTCTCACGGACCTGCCTCCCTTGGCGTAATACACGTAGGACACGACCCGCTGGCCGCCCCCTCGCTGCGTCGCGTAGTCGGAGCAGGCGGAGGCGCCCTCGAAGGAGAACCTCTTCAGGAACCACTCGGGGAAGTCCTCGGGCCTCTCCTGCGCCTCCCTGCGCCGCGAGAGGAGGCTGGCCAGGTCGAGGCCGCTCCTGCGAGTGTTGGAAAGGTAAGAAGAAGAATGGGAAAAGATAAATTAATATAAAGATGAGATAAATAGATCAGAATACAAAAAATTGTGAATTCATAGACAGAAAGATTAAATAAAAGAGAGAATAGGAAAGGAATATATGAATAGATTAACGATAATTGAAAATAGAAAATGAAGAAAATATACAAGGCCAAAGGACCAAAGATTTATTTACTAATTCTTTTAAAGAGTAAGTGTACAGTATTGTGTTGGCAGAATGATCGAAACAAAACTCTTATGTCTATATGAATATAACTGTAAAATATATAGGTATCAACTGTACTACAAAAATGTTCTTAGATCAATATTGCAATGTAACTTAGTATTGCATAACTTCTTTCTATTTTGTTGAAAAAAAAACTCCAGTACGATGTTGCTGGCTATCAACAACAGGTCTAGCACAATCAGGAATTTGCAAAACTATCTCAAAAATACAAAAAAAAAAGGAGAGTGATTAACGAAACGATCCCGAATGCAATCCATTCTTCCGAAACATCCATAAAATCTGATCATCGAAAACAAACAAAAATAAACAATACCAAACTTTAGCAAGGTACAACAATGCAGGTCATAACAACCCCCGACAACTTGCAAGACGCGAAAATCTACAATCTTTGCATGAATTGGCAATAAGTTCTGAAAACCCCTGACTTCGTCCTCCCTCTTTCTCTCCCTCCCGACTCCCCCTTCCTAACGACCTACATGGCTAAACGTCGATAAGTGGGGGTCTGTTCCCCTTACCTTTCACACGTGTCCCTATCCCAGCGTCGTTAGGAAAAGGAAACGCAGGTAAGTGGGATCTCGTTGCTCTTACCTTTCACACGGACATCCAGGTATAGTGTAGGTACGTGTCTCTATCCAAGTGTCGTTATAAAGGGGGGGAGGTACAGTGTCTTCCCTTGGAGCGACCACAGAAGCCGTCTTTGGCGAAGAAATCTGCGAAGAAAAAAAATCTTTTGTTTACTTATTTTCTATTAGAGGATATGTATTTGTCTTCGAGTGAAAATCGAATTTGTTATTGATATGATGCTCACTGTAAATACGATATTTAAGAACGAGAAAAGGATTCACTATATGCTTGGTGTTTGGTTAAAATTTGGGAGAGATGGAAATATATTAATAAATGGTTGGATACATAAAAGATATATAAAGACAGACCGACTGATGGCCAAAATAAGAGAGAGAGAGAGGGAGGTCTTTATTTTGTACCTCCAACCCAGAGTTAGGGAGATGAGATAAAGGGAGAGAAAGTGTGGAAGTGGGGAGATGGGATAAAGGTAAGGAAATGGAGGAATGGGGAGAAGAAAGGGATATAGGAAGACAGGATGGTGGAAGAGAAGAGGAGAGATGAAAGGAGAGGAAAAGTAAGAGGAAGAAAAGAAACAAAAAGAAAAAGAAAGATAAAATGAAGAGCAAAGAAAGACATGGCAGATTTTTAAATATATGAAGCATGGAGAGAATAAAGACTGATTTCAAGCATTTTTTTTTTTTTTTTTTTTAAGTACAGTACGATTATTGTATCGATAGGGTGATTCCACGTGTGTTAAATCGATTG